TGATCTACTTTGTTAGTGCAGTGTACACACAAGGCTACTATTGCAGCCTTTCAGTATCTAAAGGAGTGCTGTAAGAAAGGAGGTGGGCTCTTTAGTAAGATCTCTTGTGATAGGACAGGGGGAGAGTGTTTCAAACTCAAAGAGATTTTGATTGGCTACAAGGAAAATGGTTTTTATGATAAAGGAAGATAGGGAAAGACCGGCATGGGCTGCCTAGAGAGGTGGTGGGTGCCCTGTTCTTGAGGGCACATAGGGTCAGGCTGAGCAGGGCTCTGAGCAACTTATCTGTTTGTAGGTGTCCCTGTTTATTGCAGGGGAGTTGGACGAGGTGGTAAGTAAGGGTCCCTTCCAACACATACAAATCTGTGGTAAGAGCATATGCTCTCCTTGGCATTTATTTTAGGTGTATGTGGCTGTTCCCTGATGTCTGGGATAACACAGATGTAGGTGACTAACAGCTGGCATTCTTAAGACTCTGGTCACTCTTCACATGAAAAGTGCAGGAAAAAAAAATGGGAGTCTGAGCATGCAAGAATGAGCTAGAAAATTTACTTACTTGGAGGTCAAAGAGGTCCCTTTCTTCCATGTGCTGTTTTTGTACAGTCTTATATGAAAAACATAACTTTCATGTTACGTTGTGTGGATCAAGCATCTAGCGTGGGCTGCATTTCTGTTATTTACTCAGCCACATCTTGCTGAGAATTTCAACTTCTAGTATTGCAATTGTGAAAAGAGAATTGTATTTCATTCATACGTCCTAGTTTTCATCTGTGGATCTCAAAGCACTTTAAAACCATCTTTTATATGTCTGGGAGATAAAGCAACTGGTACAGATGTAAAAGATGTGTTTGAAGTTTTCCCACAGACCAGTAGCCAGAGCAGGAACAGAATTGAGGGACCCCAGTCTCTGGATATCCTTCTCATTTGTAAGAATTCTGAAGGACCTATTTAGTAACTGTATTTAAGAGGAAATTCATAGATGAAAAGTACTATGATTAGCAGTGTAGTTCATTTATCTACATGAGACACTGAATAATGAATATCCAACTACAGAAATGACATTCATAGGGCTTGCTACTTTTTTTTTAATCCTATCTATTCTTTCATTCTGCAGGTAAAGGAGTTAAAACTTTTACATTTAAAACTGTATACTAATTAACTTTTTGTTTGCAAGTTCCACCTGTTTAATACTGGTCTTGTGTGAAAAGAAGTCAGATTTAGGGAATAGGAGATAAATAGAAAATTTCATGGGTTCTTATAATCCTTAAGCCCAGCACAGGATTTTATCACTCTTCCTCTGTTCAAGCCCTTGAAGCTATGTATCAGAATATTGACTGACAATGCACTTGCTGATAACACATCAACAGTAATGCTCCACTCTGATGTGGGACCCCTTTCACAGCCTGGGCCTCTTGTCTGTCTTCTTGGGATGGAAGAACAGCAATCACTGAGGGTTCTTCTGTTTGCTTGTTTGTTTTTAAACAGAAGGAACGCTTTTCAGAATTTCTGGATGCAGGACATGTAACATTCCTACTTGTACTGAAGTGTACAGAAGGCCATGATGTTTGGGCAATAAAGCAAGAAAGGAAGATGAGCCCCTCAGTAGAGACTGTGGCACAATTAATATCCTGACAAAAAGAACGTGTTGCATGTTCAGTAAAGAAATATCCCCGATGTATTGGAAGTTTCTGCCCTCTACTGGCATTCTTGAAGATCAGTCTCAACCCAGCTGTGGCAGTCTGTGATCGTAACCCAGAAGAGTCATCACAGACTGTGATGGAGACCGGCTGTATTTATGAAGCAAATCCTTTAAAGCATGGTGCTTCAGGAACTGTAGGAATGACAGTGTCTGACAGGGATCTAAATCTCAGCTGACACCTGTACTGACTTCTGCAATGCTTTTCAGATGTCTGTCTACTTTTCTCACATTGTTCAGCACCACAAAGGTTAGACTGATGCATCTTTGCATACCATTATAGTCTCCATCCGGTTTTTTTCCACGCAGCCATTGAAGGGAAGAACAAATACAAAAATAAGTGCTACTTTTTATTAAGGTGGGGGTTTCCATTTTTCCATTTCACTACTGGAAGGAAAAGAAAAAGTGCTGGTTTAGTATAATGTATTATTTAAACAAATGATTTCACTGTGCAATTTTAGGTTAATTTAGAACTGCACCTGCTAACTCACTCAGATACCATCATATTCAAAACCATTTCATGATGTTGAGGGGGGATCATTTATTTGTGTGCAAAGCATAATTTTAAATCTTCACTTTGTGGCAATTGTTGTTAGCCTATTTGCAGAAAGCTGATTTTGTCATAAAAACACACCTTGGAAAAACTAGTTAAATCTGTTGATAAGCGAATTCTAAATGTTCTTTATCACTGACTGACTTCATAGTGAAACATGAAAGCATTTCAGATGCAGCCCTGCAGTGATCCAAAGCTTCTGTACAGCAACTGGTCTGTACGTGGATCATGGTTCACAAGATGGAGGGCTCAGCCTGAACAGCAGCTCAAGTTCTCACCCTCTTATCTAGAAATGTTTAAAACAGCTTATTATTGAGTATTCTCAGATACTTTGATTTTCAGTGATGCTCTTCCATACAATCTTATTTTGCACTTGTTCTTTAATAAAATTGATATTTTCTAAACCTGAGGGAGAAAAATATTTACGTAGATTGGACCCGTCCCTGCTGTCAAGGAATTCAGAAGTTATACTTCAAGATGTATATCTACACCTAGTGCTACTGTGTCAAAGCTTGCTACAATTCAGAGTAACCCACCTGTGCATACTGAAAGTACCACATAATTGCCTCACCTTTTTAAAGGCACCTTGGCTCAGGTCTGTAAACATTCTTTTTCTGAGAACAAGGGGTAGATTGCTACATCTGTAGGACAAGAATGAAGAGGCTTAGAGCATAAGAGCAGGACTGATCTGCATGGTATTATTTGGGTTTTACTTTTCTCCAGACTTCACTTCTTCAATAAGTATTACTATGCATCATCAGAAGATTGTATAAAAATGTGCCTTACTAAACCGGCTCTATACACGTGAATTTTTGAACATGACACCAGCTGTATTATGCTAAATATAAAACTGGTATATTAATCTGCTTAATACAAGCATTTCAGTTAGCATATTTCACCACTCTCCCATTGCTACAGCCAACATACTGTATTTTCCTATCAGATGTATCACCACTTCTTACCCAGCACAAGCTGAGTGAGGACACCGAGGTGGACGCCTTTTGTACAACAGGCATTTTCTACCATTCTTCCTCCTTAAAGCAAGAGTGAAAGAAGGGAAGCTCTGTTGCAGATGTACCTGTTGTTACATTCACATTCAAAAAGGATTTATTGCATCTCATGAGCTTACACAGATAATCTTACAGTAACTGGGACCTCTCATTTAATTAGCTAGGAAAGAAAGCAGTATCCGTAGCTGGTTCAGTGCCTGATGGATTCAGGGGTCTGCACTGGAAGCTCCAGGGGCTAGTGACACTTCATTTTCAACGCTATCCTGACACAGCTGTTCATCTTCTAGACCCATGCTGGTCCATTCATACACCTTGATGTGGGGGAGAGGCAGCTGATGGGTTTCCTTCCCACAGGCTTAGCAACCCTCTCCCTAGCATAGCGTACACACCGCTCATTTTCCAAGCTCTGACACTGGCACCAGAAGCAGCTAAGGATAAACAACAGATTTGCTCCAGGTTTTCCTATCAAGACTACCAGATCTTCCCAATGGAGAAAATAATCTGTGCAATGGATCCCATTTCATTTTCTTTTTTTGATATTTTGACCTCTTCAGCAAAACAAGACAATTTCCATCTCTCCCCCTGTATAATCTCAGGGTTGGTTATTTAAGACCTTCAAATTCTATTGCCACATGACAAAAATCCATTGCCTTTTTTCACCAGGTTAATAACAACATTAAGGTAAAGGTATGTGTTTGTAATTCAAAGATGCTTGAAGAGCCCTTGTAGCCTCCAGCAAATAAAAGATTCTCTGTTCATGTCTTAAGTCCCATTCACTGCATTACTGTCTCCTCTCACAACATGTTCGACAAAAACACCTGAACCCAGCTGTGTTTCCAATTCAAAGTTTGATCTGTTCTTTGAGGGAACTTCTGAGACCCAATTCAGTAAATTTGCAAGAAGGCAACACAAGCAAATTGAAAGCAACTTGGAAATTTAGCTAGCTTGGCAAAGGGAAGCCTTCAAATGACGTAAGTGTGTAGTATCATAACCCTTCAGTTCCCCAGAATAGTATCTAACACCTTATGTTTCATTCCTCATCAGTGCCTTGCCATTTTTATCTGCACTCTGAGCCTGAAGAAATTGCAAGTCAAACAGAATGGTTGCTAGAAATCCAGTTAAGAACAAAAGCAGCTTCATCATTTGACAGTTCTTAACTGATTTGACAGGACATCAGATTTCCCTTCCATGCTCTCCAGACAAACAAAAGGAGTAAAGGGACTGTCATACAATAAGAGGCAATCACACAGCCGTCCGATCTGCTGAAACTGGCATGGACACATGTAAGTTTTTTTCTGTTGGGAAGTGGGGAAATGTTTCCTGATAGATGTCAGTAGATCTATGCTCAACACAACCCAGAATGCAATAAATAAACTTTTTTTTTTTTTTTTTTTTAAGCACATAGAGTTTGATACAACTTCGTGTGTTCATTTTTCAAGATGTTCCCAAAAAAACTTCACGTTGGTTCCATGAAAGCCTGTGCTCAGAAGCAGCAGCAATACTTTCATTCTGCAATCAAACTTCCCACATAATGTAGCTGGATTAAGGAACACATTTTCTCCATCTGAAGGCCTGCCCCTGTGCATGATTAGCAGACCTGCATCCCTACTACATCACACACAAGCCTACTTTACGCAGCATGATCGGAAGGAAGCAAGACAAATATAAATTCCTTTGCCATTTCTGAACTGTAAATTCAGCTAACAAATTGATCAAAATATTACAAATGTTTGGATTACAGTTCAATATGTAAAACAATATATATTTATTTAGCACAAAATATTTATGTTCAAATAGAAGTGTACACTTTTTCCTAGTATTTATGTACTAACACAAAGGCATTTGGCAAAACTGCTGTTTCATCCTACAACTGTAGGCCTGACAGCAGTTTATAAACTGTAAGGCAAATTAGGAACTCCTCAAGTTAGTAATCCCTATAGAGTTCCACTAACTCCAGCAGAGCATACAGAAGGAAAGTGTTAGAAGACTAGGACATACGATCACAGTGTTTCCTATAACTACAGCCAACATAATAGCAGGGGTAGAGCTATATTCCCAGACAGAGAAAGAAAAGACAACTGACAGATTCACGGTAAATTGCTAGAAACACTGACTGAGAAAAGTAACCAACATTACATATGAGATCACACAACATTAATGCAATTCCCATTTCAGAGAAATGACCTTATAATGCTCAGGATTTAGGACATCTACAGACTCCAAAGCCTGCAGCTTCAATTTAGAGACAAATGCTTGATACTTTCTGGTAAATAAGCACAGATAGCTCACAATGGACAGCACAGAAATATTACTTGAAATTTGATTCCAATAATGACATTGTTACAATCACTGGATACACACGAGCACTCAAATTATGCTGGCAGACAGACTTTCCATAGCTTCTCCTTTGCTGAAGTTCCAGTCTTAAGCATCCGACATCAAAGATGTGCTGGAACGAGTTCAGTCTTCCCTTTGGCAGTTATCACCTGGATTAGACTCCCTGAGTTTGGTCGATTCTTTCCTGTTATCCAGTCATAAAAGGTTCTATTTTTAAACAAACAGATAAAATAGGATGGGGAGGATAAAAATAAAAATCACTATCAGACACATCGACAGGAAGTATAAAATAAAGGCCCAATTATTTTCCTTTTTTTTTTTTTTTTTTCCCCCTGTAGCAATTTCTACATTACGTCAAACACTGCCAATGTGATCATCAGATTCAGAACTTCAGTCAGATGGGGATCTGGAGAAATCAGAAGCCCTATAGAGCACACACGGGATTTGCAGAACATCTCAAAGGAAAAGGCCAGGTGTTTAAAACATCAAAAGTTTGCCCAAGTTGAAAAAGTAAGCTACAGGAGCTACAGAAGTTGCCTTTATAGCATACATCATAAACACAGACTTATGGCTAACATAGGGTTGGTAAACCTTGGATCTGTTAAAAGTTGCAGATTAAATGATTGGTTTTTCGTCCCCATATCTCTGTATTCTATTCCTATTCTCTCCTCACGCATCCCTTACTTTTCAGCCTATGCAAGTACCCTTTCTTCTCAAGTTCTTCTTTCTTAACCCATTATGCTGCCAACAAGGCGTCTTAAGTGTGAAAAGAAGTCTTGGCAGAAGCACAGAAAGTTTAAGATACCCAAAATATGCCAAGTGAGATGGGCTCATTCTGGACAGCACACCAGAGCACTTCTTAGCAAAATTAATTAAAAAAATATTTTTCAGGTCCATCAACCTTTCCATCATTGCAGACTTAGTAGCTACCATTTTGAAACATCCTGCCATCTGACAGAATAGTTTCCAGGATACAGCAGACCTCAAAATGCAGACACGATACGAGAAACATCCTTCCTGAGATGAAAATGGTACCAATGTTTAACACCACTGGAATTATTGTCTCCAACACCAGTGAAACTGTCAGTTTTCAAAGCTAGATTTAAAATTAAGAGAATTAGAAGCTAAAAAAAAGCAGAACATTCAACCTAATTGTCCCACAAGGAAAATGATCTTTAGAAGTCAAAAGTTAATTTGTACATAGACAGATGTTAGGGCTTTTAGAATAGAGAACTTTTTGGGAACATTTTTAAACTAATTGAAATCAACTGATTGGACCCTTGTAGATAGCCACATTGAACAGCTGCACGGGCTTCTTGCACCAAAAACTATTTTCCACTCTGACATGCAACTGAAAAAAAAAACCTCACATCACAAAGAAATTAAATGCCAACACTAAACTACTCTCTGAGCAATCAGCATAAGGTGATAAGGTGAATGTTACTTCAGTGCCAGTTTTAAAAGCTTTTAAATTTATAAGAGTAAAGACACATTGTCCTCTACAACATGTGAAGGCAGATACATCTGTCCTCAAAAAGGCAAGACAACTGCGTCCGTGCTTTTCTGCTTTCATGTGACCAACCTCAGCAGAATGTTTGCTACCCCCCATCACCTCACAGAAGGCAGTACTTCTCTGAGAGCAATTAGACACAGTAAGTCTTTTAGTCTCAGCCTGTTGTGCAATAAGCTACAGCTGAAATTTCTGCATTTTGCAACATTATGCATCCTTTGTGGATAACAGAAGAAACAAACAAACAAAAAAAAAAAAAAAAGAAAAAACCTCTGACTGAATTATGCTGAACAAAACTAGGAATTTTTCCAGCTTTAAGAAGTGGATTAGCACACCAGAAAGTGGGCAATAAAAAATATCAAAACAAATAAACAATGTTGAAGTTTACATGCTTATTTGCAGTTTACCTTTAAGCTAAACTACTGACTCCTGCATCTGCAATTTAATTTGTCTAGAGCCTTTACTTTGGATTTCAACTGCTTAAGGCTCTCTTATCATAGTAACTGACGTAGAGACGCTGAAGTTGATGGAGCTGGGCTAATTTTTTCCATTTAAGGAAGCTTGCAGGCCCAACGTCATCTGGAGACCTACAGAATCAGGGAAATTATGGGAAAAAATGCCCAAACCCGTGACAGCCATTTAGAAAGAGGAGGCAGGAAGATGCAACAGCAAAAGTGACAGTAAGAATTGCTTAGTTATCACAAGCATACTCACTCAGCGATGAATTCTAAGGATGTCCAAGAGCTGAAATCTGCATCAGGCATTGATTTCCTGTTCGCTGGTGTATCCAAGGTAACTCTGTGATTAAAACAAGATAAACCTTTATTTATTCATCATGTTCCTGATAAGAGCCACCTGCTTCTTTTCGTTGTTGTAACATATGCTTGAATTTTATACCACGCAGTACAGATCTCCCTTGTTTTCTCTACATGTTAACAGCATATAACTATCAGTTTCAGTGTACATCAAAGGCTAGAGCCTATAACCCCTTAGCTCCCTGCCTTGCTGATGACATCCAGCCCACCAGGCCTATAACCTTGCACACAGCTCCCTCCCAGCCTCTCTCATGCAGTCCGTAGCAGTAATATTCTTGCCCATGTGTATCACACAGCACGTGCCCTACTGCTATTGCCCTCAATCTCTGCACTTGCAGCTCGCTCAAGTGAGTGCACAGGACCAGTAAGTTTTGACTTTCATGACATTAAAGGCTGAAGTCTTCAGAACTGTCTTACTGCTATGCTGGGGACAACACAGGGTATAATTACACTCAAGAACTCACTCAAGCATAGGGTTTCACACGAGACCTATGCAAATCCAGAATGGCCAAAACTGCAGTGTTCTTGGTGTCTGCCTGTCTGCAAAGCTCTGCAGAACACTGCGTTAGTGATCCCAGCACTCTCAGAACTGTTGCTTTCTGACCTGAAGGAGTGTGCATAACAGTAAGCATATGAGGAAAACATGCTGCTAGATTTTGGGCAACATTCCAAATACCCATACAGAACTGTTTAGTCTTAAGTTTTGGCTCCAGGTATGAACCTGGCAAGATAAATAATTCTTGCAGCAATACCAATGGACTTTGATATGGTGAAGACCTACCGGTCCACTCATTTTTTACTAACTTTTCTCAAAGCATCAAAAAGATAGCTATGACAGGCAAATACAAACTAGATTTCTTTTTCTTGCAGAACCTCAATACTGATCAATCTCAGGTGCTTCTGTAGAAAATGTTCATATCTTCATCCAAGCAAAAACTTGTCCAGTAATCCTTTCTTTGCTATAATCACACAATTCAGTCTAAAATTGTGCTGAACAGTCCTTTTCATCTTCTGACTGTACTGAAAAATTTACACGTTAATAGCTGGCTACCCTTACAATGTTTAAAGCTGAATCAAATTTTAACCCCAACACCCACTACTGTTTTGCATAGCAACAGAAAAAAAGTTATTCACTGTTAGGACAACTTGTGGACTGCTACTTTCGTATGTTCGAGACACTTCTCAGTCTAAGCTATTGGAGTAGCGGGGACAGGACATCACAACCACACCAGTGGAACACCAGGTTACAGCAGTAATCAAACCATGCAGGCAGAGGTAACTATTCAAGCACTTACGGTAAAATAGCAACAGCAGCAGAGCCAGATGGCAAACCACTATTGGCACCAGCCAAGCTCTGACACAGCTGGTGCACTGCTCCTTTAGCCATGCCATAGCCAACCATCCCTAGCAACAAAAAACAGGAGAACTAAAGCACAGTTCTCAATACCATCAGTAGTATGACACAAACTCACATTATTTAATTAATAATAAGTTTTAAATCACTTACCATAGGCAGAACAGAATCAGATTTAAAACATAAAGAAATATAATTAAAGAAAAACAAACACAACCCAAATCCTAATAGACATCCAGGAACAACAAAAAAGCTTTGAGCATTACAGAACTGACAAACTTATTGCTTTCAACATATTTAATTAACACTTCAGAACATACCCTGAAGGACCAACAGAGTTAACCTTACTAGTTTAGTTTTGCTGTTTTCTAAGTGTGAAGAGACTCAGTGACTTTAATCAAGCAATCACCTGTTAGCTTTGAGCACAAGATTGAAGCATTTACAGGTCTGGACCTGAGCAGACACAGCACACTTCTCTCCAGAACAGTAATTCACTGCAGCAGCATCCTAATTCTGACGGGCCCTCTGGACAAAGCTACAAAAAACTAACAAGCAGAAAACACAGTCCTGGAAGAATGCAACTAAACAACCTGCGTGTAAATCCAGCTTCTTTGGGAGCACTGCTGCTTTTTAGACAGCCAGTGCTCAGCAGTGTATGATGTATGGGAATGAGAGCATGCAGCGTACTGCTTAAGTACAAGAGCTGGACAATAAGGAGCAACACATCTCAGCTGTCTCATGGCACACATCTGCCAAGCAGCCTAGACATGACATGATTAAGCACATAGGAAAAAGATAAATGTATTCTGTCTACTCCAACTGGATGACTTTCTACATCTTTGTACAACTCCTTTTCAAAGTACCTGAGGAAGCATTCTGCAATTCTGCAAATGCTTTAAAACAAAGATAATTTTGCATTACGTAAATGTTTCCATTATATTCAATTAGATACACTGTATAATATCCACATTTATTAGGAGGAATCACTCTCAGCAGTAGCTACCTCATTTTATTTTATTGTAAAATATTTACACTTCTATCACATTCCCCTCTTCTGTAAACCAAATACCAAGTCTTCTTAAACCTTTTCTATGTTTCTTAACCATCACTGTTGAACTACTTACTGTAGCTATTGTATTATTTTCAGTTTTCTTCAATTGGCATTGAATAAGTCAACATTCTCACACAGAAAAAGAAAAATCACAGGAAGAGCAAACAAGAAAAAGAGGATTCCTTCCTTAATGGCTGGAAACAACAAGCCAGCAAGTCATATTTGCAAAAGTTGAGTAACAATTCTTTCCCAATTCTTCCTGAAGTTAATAAGCTGCATGTGTTTGCCCAAAGCACTGCTGTGTTTTTCGTTTTTTGTGGTTTTGTTTTGTTTTTTTTTTTAATCCAGACTCATTGAAAACTGCTAGTTGAAAACATGAAAGCAAATCACTGATTCTTCTGTTGTGGTCCCTACCTCCCAAAAAGACCCAAAAGACATTATGAAAGTTTGCCAAAATTCACAAGACTTCATTTGTAGATGGTCAGTCAGTAGTAGACAGTAAATTATGCATCTGTTTATTCACATAAAATAAGCCTTTTGTCTTCAGACCATACCAGATGCAGCTGTAAACTTAGAAGGTAAATCATTAACTAGAAAATACAGCATATTTCTCCTGAACCACTTTAGATGTGGCTTTTAGGAATATTCATTAATTTTATGATGTGCTTTACAGCATTAGTAGCCATGTCTCATCAAAGTATTGTTAGGTCTCACTAGTAAATTGGGAAATAGAAACATTTGTCTCAAAAAACTTTCCTTGCCTGTGGACTTGTGTGCCTTTTTCTTTTAAACTGCTCCCAGATTTCTTTCCCCACGCAGATGGGAGTGAGATTTATAAAAAAACAAACTTAGAAAAGTTTGTTCTAAATAGGTTGGAGGGCGAAGCTAAAGGTCAACAAGCTTATCTGTGCCTGAAGCGAAGGTGGACTGGAATCAGAACATGAACAGGACAAGCACATCTAATAGAATCAGCTGCGTCATCACTAGTAGAAAAAGTGGGCAGCGAGGGACTTTACTTTTTAGAAAGCAAATAAGAGATTTAACTTTTCTTTAAGCACTATACTTACAGCTTGCTGCGTACTTTTATTCTTCACTATTTTCCAAATTATTTTTTACCGTATCCTATATTAGCCAAGTTCATTTCACCAATGCATATCAACTATTAACTAAATACTGATTCTGTTTGTGCTCCAGCTTCAAGAAATTCAGTGTTGCCACCTGTAAAATTACACCTACATTAAGCATTTCAGCAGCAAATTTCCATTTGTAATGGATGTCAAGAAACTGGCGAGTGAAACTACTCTTCATGAGCAACACTGCTGAGATTAGCACAGAGGTAGAACTACTCATGTCTCAGCAGTTACCACACACAACCGCATTTTACCTGGAGTTCCAGATAAAGCAGCTTGAGCTCCTGTCAAAGTCAAGAGACCTCCTTCTTTCAGATGTTTTGTGGCTAGGTGACTGGAAATAGTGGATGTCCAAACACTTTGTTTCCACATCAGATCACAGTTTTTGTACAAAGCTGATTAGAAAGATAATTAGTTACAGTAACCATAAGAAAAAGGATCCTCAATTCTGTTTCCTTCTCATCGCACAGAGTGCAACAGTATTACACAAAGTACTATAATGATATCTGAAAGGATATTTTTCACTTACACCTTGAGTAAAATATCAATTTATATCTTTCACATCTCCGGGTGTCAAACCCCAGCTCTACATCATGTATTCTAGGCAATTACCTGCTTTCTATAAAAAGCAAAAAATGCTATATATAAACATTGGATAGTTCCACCATTAATGCTTACACTCAGTTCAAAGACTTCCAAATTTTTCAAATTTTTGTAAGGACTGCTTTAATCTATGTCAAGGATCTGAAAATTCACACATTAATTCCTTCTCACTCTGTAGCAGCATGATTTCTCTTTCCATAACTTCCCCACTGGCTGCATACAGTTACCTCCACTAGAATGCAGAAAGAAGACTCCAAGAGACAAAAGAGTTAATCAAAAATATTTCTTGTCACCAGATTATATCACAAATCAAGAACAACACACGTGAAATGTACTAATCTATTAATCTATACTATACCAAGCGTGCATCCTAGTGCCTCTATATACCACAGAGCAAATTCTACTTCAGCAGCCCATTAGGACCAGGGAGAACTTCACAAGCAAGCCAAATTCAAGCACTCATCACTGTTTTTTCTCCTTTCCATGCAGGTACTGCAAAAATGCCTAGCCACTGTTCAGAAAGAATCCTTTTCAGAACACAGCACAAACAAGTATGAGCAACGCAGTGAGGTAAGCTGACCACTTGATTCCAAGATACCCTGCTATCCCACCAGAAGAACTACTATAAATCAGGGTTATGACCAACCACCTTATTTCCAATGCTGTGCATATTTATTACAACCCAATATAATGTAATTGTGGAAATGCATTCGCTTTGATTAAACTGTGTATGCCGTCTCACATTCTCTTCATAGGTGAAAATTTTGCCTATAATGTCTGAGCTGAGAAATGGGAGGAAAATACATTTTCTACCATTATTATTATTTTCTGTTCTAGTAGGAAAAGCAAAAAATTGCTCTCTGAATATTACATGTTTAAAAGTTTTGTAAATCTGTGGACTTTTTTTTGTCCTCTAGAGTGGTGTTGAGTTGTTATCAGCTCTGGATTATATAGTAACAGCTCAGAGAGCTGCAGCAAGCAACTGCAGCTTTATCAGTAACACAGTGAACTGGGCAACAACATCGACGTTCTGCTCAGCAGCTATCTTATGGAAGCTGCCTGCCTTGTCAAAAGTTAGTTCACAGATAATAACACTGCACTCCTTTATATGGTGCATCAAGATTCACCAGTAGAAAACGGTGCATTAAAAAAACCTCTTCTGAGAACACTGAAAATGTAACACGCCCCAGTAATTCAGAAATGAGCTAAGATGCATTGTGACTGAGCTCTTCTGTACTGTTAGGCTAACATCCTCTTCCAGACTCTGGAAGAAAGACAGTCTCAGACTTTTATAACCATGATTTTTAACAACTCCTCTGAGATTTCATTCCCATATAAACTGACATGCACAGGCTTACATTTAGCTTTGGCACTGCCTCCAGCCCATCCTCCTGCTACACATAAGATCGCATCCACCTTCTCTTCACCAAGCAGCTTTCCAATCTCTGCTGTCACCTTCAAAACACAGAATAAAAACACTCTGAAGCCACTGTGACGATAAAGGAGTAAATGCCAATGTAAAGAAGTAAATATCAAGATTGCTTTAAAGTTACTCAACTATGTAACCAGAGGAAAAAAATACAGCACAAAACAATTTAAACAACTGCAGAAAACTAAGAGGATCCATTTACTCGGAATAACCACATAACTAAAGATGACAGTCAGATCACACAGTGTGTGATGTCCCTGGAAATAACTGATTTGAGCAGGATCAAGAGATCCAACCTTACCTACATCATAAACCATCTTTTTAAATTATTATTAGACATTTCTTTTCGAAGGTACCTCTCTGCACACTGTCCCATTTAAGCACATGGGACAAAAAGCTCCAGATCTGCAGAGCCGCTTCCACAACAATTCCGATGACAGCACAAGGAACGAACAACTGAATATCTACCTTCACCACACGATCCGTGCATCGCACCACCGCACCCGAGGCGGAGGCTGATGGATGCACAGCACCTTTTCCTCCACAGCCGGTAACGCGATTGGTTGTAATTCCTGCGCCGCGGGGAAACGGGACCCCACTGCAGCCCGCAACCGCGGCACCGTCCCCGCGCGCTCCCACCTGCTCGGCCTGCTCGGTGAAGGACTCTGCGGCTCTCACCACCACGCTGGCGCTGGCCTCCTCGTTCTCGGACAGGTCGATGCTGGCGACCCACTGCGCGGCAAGAGAGCCGTTAGCGCCGGTCCCGGTGCACGCAGCGCCCCGCCGCCCAGCCGCCGCCTCCCCGCACCCCGCCCCGCTCCCGCCCGGAGCGCACCCAGTTCCTGGACTTGAAGTACTGCACGCACTGGGACCCCAGGGCCCCTCTACCGCCGTACACCAGCACCCTGCCCGCCACAGCCATGCTCGCCGCCAGCAACCTGCAGCCCGCCCGGCAACGCAGCACAGCACAGCCCGGCCCTCCCCGCCGCCCGGCGCCGCCTGCGCATGCGGAGCGGAGCCAGGTCCTGTCGTGGAAGAGCTCCGCCCGCCTCCGAGAGCTGGGGGGAAGGACCCGCGTGTGCATATCCCAGCGGCGGGTTGTGTTACTGCCCTCGGGGACGTTGGGAGGGTTCATTCATTAATTAATCGACCAGTGGATCTATGGGGCTTGAGTAGCAGTAACCGTAGAAGCCGGCCCGGCCGTGGCTGTGTGCGGGTGGGGCACGCACAATCACAGAACCATTGCGGCTGGAAAAGACCTGTAAGATCACTTAGTCCAACGCCAGCCTGTCAGCACCGTGCCTGCCGACCAGGTCCCTCAGTGCCACACCTCCACGTTTCTCGAACACCTCCAGGGTCGGTGACCCCCCCACCTCCCTTGCAGCCTGTGCCAATGCATCACCACCCTTCCTGAGGACAATTATTTTTTTCTTTGTTATTTTCCAACCTGAACCTCCCCTGGCACAACTTAAGGCCATTCCCTCTCATCCTGCCACCGTTACCTGGGAGAAGAGGCCTACCCCCACCTGCCCACAACCTCCTTTCAGGGAGGTGTAGGGCAATAAGGTCTCTGTGAGCCTCCCCTTCTCCAGGCGGAACAATCCCAGCTCCCTCAGCTGCTCCTCATCAGACCTGTGCTCTGCCACATTAGCAGTCCCCTGAGCTCTGGCAGCAGTGACATTTAGGCTGGCACAGAGTAAGCACCCGGAGGAGCACGCAGCAGAGACGTTAGCAAAACTCTGCTGTCGATTTCCATGCTTGTAGTGCTTTGTAGCTAATTATGCTTTTAATAATCTTAAATAAATACAGTTCTAGTCCTCATTTTCTTCCCATGTGGTTAAGGTATAGATCTCAATGTCATTTGAGCAAGACAATTAAACATCTAGTGAAACATTAGCTTTGCAATAGATATAAGATTACTTTCGGCAGAAAGAAGCACCGCGGCGCTGCAGGGTAATGAAGCCGATGTTTGCAACCATCTCAGGATGCTGTCGTAGCAAGATGTATTTTTTGACTTGATTTTTAACCGTGCAGTTTAATTTCTGGAGCTTCAAAGTATAATGAATTGTATTTCAAAATACCTGCTGTTCAGTTGTGGATTTTGGAGCATCATAAAAAATTGGGAATGTGCTTAATTGCTGCAGAGAGGCCTTGGCGATGACTCCCTGAGACCACTAGGATGCCTGGCTGTTTTAAAAAGACTTTATTTGCCTTGGCTTCTGCAATAAGTTTTGCATCTTTTATCTTGATTGTTGTTGCAATGGGGACCCCGAAGTGGATGACCGGAAAGATCCTGTGCAAAACAGGAGCTGAATTAGTCAATGCCACAGATCCAGAGCTGGTCAAGTTCATTGGAGAAATTTACTATGGACTCTTTCGAGGCGGCAAAATACGTCAGTGTGGGCTGGGCGGGCGACGCTCCAAATTCTCAGGTAAGTGCAGTTGTAGTTGAATCCCTAACTTGGATGTCTATAGTTCAACTCTAAAGGCACTCAGTTTTGTTTGCAGAGCTTGCAGCATGCAATTCATTATTATTAAACTGGCTTTCTTGTGTTCTGTATGGTTTGGGATTTGGGTGGGTATGTAAACCCTCTACCATTTCACGCTAGTTTTTTTTCTCTGGTTATGTTCCATAATCCTGGAATCAAGAAACAAAACCCCTAGGGCTCAATTGAGGGTTTCCCTTTAGTCTTGAAAAGTGAGTGAAAGTTACTGCTTGTGTTCCAGGCTGAGCTATAGAAGGAAGTACATTCAAAGTGACCCTGTAAGTCACACTACCCCCTTAACTGAAGCTTTCCTCTGATGAGTGTTGCTCTTTAGTATTTCTGTGCCTTCTCTAATGTTGCCTTCTTTGTTGAGCTCCTCACTTTCTTTGTGTGCCTGTGGTATTTTTTTCCTTTTAAGAAGTGGAGATGTATTTAGCTGTCCACACTAATGCATTTCTCCATCTCTCCCAATGCAGACGTTTTCCATTGCAGATCCTCTTAACTTTGTTAACGTGTTTTAGAAGTTTGTAACTTCTTTTCTGGTAACTCTGAAGACAAAACATCATTGCTGAATGTGGATTAGTCACATTTCAGTAACCAAAGTGACTGGCAAGTAGGAAAGCAGGGCAAAGTTGTTGCTGTGCTTAGCTGCTGTTTCTTTGCAAGACATACAGAAATACAGTCCCATTTCTGTCACTCTATCTGCAGCAGTGACACAAAATGATAAAAAAAGTAGCCAATACCCTTTTCAATCTTTCTCCAACTTTCTGGACTCATTAGTATACTTCCTGATTAATTACAGTGTAAGCTGAGAGGAAGGCCTAGCATTCCACCATCACTATGGAGTGTATTGATACATATCTGGAGGATGTGATCCTATCCTTCTCGGACAAACAAAGCTCTCACTTATGCTAATAAGAATTTTCCCAGTTAGAACAATAAAATTGGGTCATTAACTGCAATGGACACAGCTATGTGGTTAGGAAAACAAATGTGCAAGAGATTTTCCCTTTTAAATACTTTAATCGCTCTGTAAAGGTTGAAAACTTTGCAGCACTGGCATCAAAATCGTGGTAGTCCTACAGAACTGTTAGACTCACCTCCTCCCGGGGGTGTTTCCATTCGCACTGCGTCATCTATATGAGACCCATGTGGTTTTTCTGGAAGTCCTAAGGCACATAAATTGGTGTGAGATGCTTATGTTTTGACATCTGAATCGAGCCCTGGGAACGAGCTGGGGAAGCAGACATTTGTCTGTGTGCATGGCAGACACAGCTGGAATGTGTCAGCAGCCCTCACGGCAATGTTCTTCCTGAAGATTCTTTCTTCTTTATTAAACTAGGCTTACTGCTCATGGATTTGGAAGAGAAGCAAAAGAATCCTTACAACTACCCTGATGCTGGTTTATAATAAAGCTAAATACTTTGCTTTTTTACTGCCAGTTTTTTTTCCTGTGAGAAAGTAAGCCAGTTTCTGGCTTCTTATTTCACAGAATCACAGAATTATGTTGTGAAACCAAGAAGGGAATTTGGAATCTGAAACCTGTGGAATTAGGAAATATGAATTCAGAGTAGATTTCACTGGAGCCCGTAGGAAGAGAGAGAAAGAAGAATCACATGGAAAAATAAATTAGACAGGAGCAACACTTCTTCAGGCAGCAAAGAACTGGATAAGGAAACTGGGACTTCTGTACTTCTAAGGGATGAAATTAAAAGCATGGGACAGAAATGGGAGACTGGAAAAGAGGAGTTTGGAGCAAAAAACGAAGGTGATTTAAACATTAACTAAACAAGTTAAATAAAACAGTACTTAACCCTGAATCCTTACTCACAGGTCCTCTGTGAAGGATTTTTCCTGTGGCAGAATATATCCTGTTTGTCTGAACAGTGAGAAATAAAGCATAATGAACTATGATTAGGGTAACCACCCTTCTTTAAAAATAGCCTTGTTTAGGTATAATTTGAGTTTGTTGTATGAGCATAGTGTGCTGTTTTTATTGTTGTCAAGAAAAATTACACGCTGAATAGATTATTTTTTTCTTGCCAGTTTTCCCACATATGGTGAAGAAACTGAATACAGGCCTGCATGTGATGATAATAATGTTCCTTTGTGTGGCCATTTCCTTTTGTCTGGTCAGTTTTGGATTCTGCATCCTTAACGCAATGAAAGTTCCTTACCGTGCTATTAAGGGTCCGGCAGGAATATGCCTTTGGAATTTCCTTGCAGGTAAAATAATTTACCAGTATTTTTCATCAGGTCACATTTGTTAAAAAAAAAATAAAAATGTTAACAGCAAAACTCTACTTGCTTTACTTAATAACTCCTTGACTTAAATATTTATGAATAAAATGAAGTTGCAGTTAACTCTCATCTACCGAAACAGATGTGTCAGATGGCATTTCAGCTTATTGTACCTAGTCAACTTATTACAGGAGCTGCAAATGTTGGCCTTTGCAATCACTGATAAAGGGACTTTGTTGCAAACACTGGTATAATGCTTGGCCAAACAATAAAGGCTAAGCACTTTGAAGATGTTTAAGCCATGCCCAAGTCTACCTCATTTTGCTCACTTTTGTATTTAGTAAGTCTTTCTGAAGCACAACCAAGATGTTTTGACAGCAATGGTGAATGCTTCTTTTGTTTTGTTGCAGGTGGATTCGTAGCTCTTGCAGTCACTGGCTTTATGGCAGCTGTAAAACTTCACCGTCTCACAGAAAGGATTGCCAATTTTCGGGAAAATGTCTTTCAATTTGTTATCTTAGAAGAACAGTTTGAAGATTGTTTTTGGATTTGTGTGGCGAGCGCCACAGCACATGCAGTGAATTTGCTGCTAATACCCATTAGTTGCATCAATTTCCCTAAAATTAAGACTAAAACAGAAGAGGCAAATGTTACAGCTGAAGATATCATGTACTAATAAATCTACGTAAGATTTCTTTGGTGAAGAGAGCTGTCATTCAGAAATGGCTTCTTGGCTTTTCTGCTTCTGGCTTGGATGGAGAGTTTTGGTTTAGACGTGAGTAAAGATGCCTGGTGTGCAATTCTGCAGTATTTTTAAGGTCAGTCTACAGCACCAGCAATTAGCACACATGGGAAAGTAGGATGAACAAATGCTACGAACATTATTTTCAAAAATGAGCTGTATGTGCAATATATGCTGCTGACAGTTTTGATAAAACTTACATTTTAAATACTTTAGAAAAATAAGGTGAAGAGTAATTTCACCTAAACCAAATGTCTTCTTTTGTTTAGAAAGAAAATACATTCAAGCATAAACCTTTGAAAACATAGGATAATTACAGAACAAAAAGACTGGATGTTTGCCAATTGCCTTCTCAGAATTATCTGGAAATGTTTAAGAGAGCCATCAAGGACATATTTGATGATGGTAAACTGATTTGAGGAAGGAGACCTCACTATCTGTGGGGCTAAACTTAGGGGGGAGCACAGGCTAAGACTGTGTGATAGTGTTTAAAAATAGAGATTT